ACTGCAATTGCAGAGTATTGGGGTATTGGAAGGGATCGGAGAAAAACCCTGACGCGCGTTTCGCCGGTAAGGCGGCTTTTCCCCTTGAAAAGCCGCCTTACCGGCGAAACGCGCGTCGGGATTCTTAGTAACCGCAACTGCATATATCTGGATATCAGATTGTTTCCTGCAAGTTACTATTCTATTTAGACGGTTCAGTTTATCTGACCATAGATTAACAGCCACATTAAACGGCTTCGTTTGTGCTATATACTGCTGTTTATTTTATTTTATTTTTTTAATTTTTTTGATTACTACCTATTAGTGTTTTTCTTTTTTTTTTTTGTTTAATTCGAGTTTTATTGTTATTTCACAACGTATAACGGGGATACAGAAGGCAAGAAGGGAGGGTAAGGTATGCGGTTGTGATTCGTACATTTTATACAGCAATGTCGATATAGACAAATATAGACAAATATACATCAATCCCCATTGTTCTTTGCATATTGGTACCGCTGGTATTGTCTCATCATTCTGTATTACACGAAACCTTGGTGCAGGGTTGGTGACTAGTGTCCCCAGAAAGGTTGGGGGTAGGGAATGGTGGGGAGAGCGGGGAAGTACTATATACATGGGAAGTGGGTGGGGGGGGGGGGGGTACAAGGTATCTTTTATTGTTATTACTGTTCCGTCTATTGTGGATTATTCTGTACTAGTGCCCAGTGTTTTAGCCATGGTTCCCATATGTTTAGGTATGTAGTGTATTTGCCTATTGTGGACCAATGTAGCATTTCCATTTCTCTCATGTGCTCTACCCTTTCTATCCATTGTTTGGCTGTGGGTGGTACATTTTGTTTCCAATGGACCGGTATAAGGTTGTTTGCTTCTCCCAGAAGGAGCCATAGTAGGCGCTGACTCTTCATACATTGAAAGGAGTGTGGCCATCCTAGTAGAATTTGGGAGGGGGTTAGGGAGTGTGGTAGTTTTAAGATCTCATCGATCTTGGAGGTCACTTCTGCCCAGTATGGTCTCATGAGTGGGCAAAACCACCACAGGTGTTCCATACTGCCCACCTCTCCCCCGCACCTCCAGCATTGTTCGCTAACTGTTTGCCAATATAGATGAAGTACCTCCGGGGTTCTATACCACCTAGTGATACGTTTATAGAATGACTCTTGTCTTGATAGGCTACTGGAGGTGTGCATGGGTTTTGTGAAAACATATGCCCAGTCCTGGTGTGACATATGTATGTGAAGTTCCTTCATCCATTTACGTTGGTATGCTAGGGTCTCTTGAGCCCTATCATTAGTTTGGATGAGTTTATAAATTTGTGATAAGGTGCGTTTTATTGGTTGTGCGGTCGTGCATAATTGCTCAAAGGGGGTTGAACCTCTTGGGGTCCAATATGGTATTACCGCTTGAGTGATAGTGTGTCTTAGTTGAGTGCATCTCATTGCTTCCATGAGTGAATGGTGGCCTCTCGGAATTTGGGGTTGCTTGATTTTAGGGGGTGTATCTCCTGTCAGCAAGTCTCCTATTTGTGGGTTTTGTATTCCCCATAGTTTTAGTATAGTATCTGCCCCTCTGCCTCCTAATATATCCGGGTTATGGTTTAACGGGTATAATGGAGATATGCCCGGTGACAGTTTCCAGGTATTTTTGTGCAATCTCCACTTCTTTAAGATGTGGGGAATAAGGGGGTGTGTCATGGTGGTCAGCCGCTGAAGTTGGCATGTCTGCCAAGGGAGGGATGGTAAAGGAGCCTGTGCATGTATTTGTTCTATGTCGTACCACGATTTTTTGTGTTTTATATCTATCCATTCCCTGAGTCTAGTGAAAAGGACTGCTATGTAGTAGTTGTACATATGGGGTAGCCCGACACCTCCTTTCTTTTTATCCCGCGTGAGTATGTCATATGCCAGTCGGGATTTTTTATTTCCCCAAACAAACGTAAGGAAGATGTTTTTCAGTATGTGGAAGAACTGGCGTCCGAGTTCGATGGGGAGTGTTTGAAATGTATATAAAATTTTTGGTAGTATCATCATCTTAATGATGTTGACTCTTCCAAAAAGGGAAAAGTGGGGTTTGTCCCAGTGTTTGAGTTGTGATTTAATGTTATCCAATAGGGGAATGTAGTTCATTCTATAGAGGCTTGTCGTTGTGGGTGCGAGTTTGATGCCTAGATATGTTAGGCCTGTGTTTGCCCATCGATAAGGGTAGTTGTGGCTTATGTGTTTGAGTTGGGTCGGTTTTAGGTTGATGCCCATTAGTTCGCATTTATCAGCGTTTATTTTGAAATTTGAGTATGTACTGAAGTGTTCTATTTCGCTCTGAAGATGCGGGAGGGAGCACTCAGGGTGTGTGAGTGTTAGGAGTACGTCATCTGCGAAAGCAGATACTTTTACTTCCTGGTCTCCTGCCCTGATGCCTTTAATGTTGGCATTTGCCCTGATGGCGTTCAGAAATGGTTCCATCACCAGAACGAATAGTAGCGGCGACAGAGGGCACCCTTGTCTTGTGCCATTACCTATGGCAAAGGGGGGAGAGTCTTGCCCATTGACTCCAATTGTGGCTGATGGTCCTTTATATAGCGTTCTCACCCATCGTATGTAATTGGGGCCGATTCCTGGGGTTTCAAGGGTGGTGAATAGGAAGGTCCAGTCTACTCGGTCGAACGCCTTTTCAGCGTCCACCGAGAGGAGTATTGTCGATACCCTGGTGGTAGAGGCACCATATATGAGGTTGAGTAGTCTTGTGGTATTGTCTCTCGCCTCCCTTCCAGGGATGAAACCCGCTTGGTCTGTATGGACGAGGTCAGGCAGTAGTGTCTTGAGTCGGTTGGCAAGAATTTTTGCAAGCAATTTAACATCGAGGTTAATTAGGGAGATGGGTCTATAACTACCACACAGGCTCTGGTCCTTGCCGGGTTTTGGCAGGTTTGTTATCGATGCTTTCAGCATCGGGGGTGGTAATTCGGTAGTGGTTAGTAGATTGTTAAGTACTTCTAGATAGTGGGGAGATAGGATGTGTTGGAAAGATTGGTAATATCTGGCCGTTAGGCCATCTGGTCCCGGGCTTTTACCCTTAGGAAGTGTTTTAATTGCTCGCTGCAATTCTTCCAGCTGGATGTGGGAGTCTAATATGGTTGACTGGTGTGAGTCTATTGTTTTTTGGATATGGGAGGAGATATATGTTTTAATGTCATGGGAAGGACCTCTATGGTGCTCTAGATTATATAGATTACTATAGTATTCCCGGAAAATTTTGGCTATGTCCTCGGTTTTATCTTTGCGTGTACCGTCTTGCGCCTTTATGTGGGATATGTATGTTTTTTGGTGCTTTTCTTTTAGGGCTCTGGCCAGGAACTTCCCACTCCTATTACCGTGTGCGTAATATGTTCCCCTGGTTAGGAGTACTGCTCTGTGTGCCTGCATCGTAAGGATATTGCGTAGATCCATTCTCAATGCCGTTAGCTTGTTATACGCCTCCACTGAGGAGTCGGTTTTATGTTCCATTTCTGCTCTAGCTATTGCTTCTGTGAGTGATTTGATCTTTGCTTGGCGTTCTTTTTTTATACGTGCACCCCACTTAATCAGTATGCCTCGGGCGATACCTTTGTGTGCCTCCCATACCCAGGTGTCTGCGGTGTCTTTGTTTTTGTTTTCAAGAAAGTATTTAGGGAGGGAATTATTGAGGTCATCAGTCACTCTTGGGTCGTCCAAGAGCGATTCGTTTAACCGCCACTTGTTGGTGGGTGTGCATGTTCCTGCAAGGGATAGTGTGAGGAACACCGGGGCATGGTCTGACCATGTGATGTGGCCAATTGATGCTTCTTTTAACAAGTGTAAATGCCTATGTTCTAAGAGGAACATATCCAATCTGGAATAACTATGGGCCACCTGTGAATAGTAGCTATAGTCCCTCTCCTGTGGGTGGGATATTCTCCAGCAGTCCACCAGCTGGTGGGCATGGAGGGATCTTTGAAATAAAGCCCTTTGGTGTTTCTGTGTGTCTTTACTGGTTGTGGAGCTGTCCATAGAGTGGTCTAGGACCATGTTCCAGTCTCCCCCTAAAACTATTATCCCATTAGCAAATTTGTGTAGTTTCCTAAGACATGAGTTGGCAAATGATACTTGTTTGGTATTTGGGGCATATATAGTTGCTAGTGTCACCAGTGTGTTATTCAGTGAGCCCTTGATAAATAGGTATCTTCCCAAGTGGTCTGTTTTGATTTCACTCGGGGTGAAGACTATGCGTGGTGATAGTAGGATGGCTACTCCTCTCGCTTTGCCCCCGTGATAGTTGCTGAAGAATGCTTGTCCTATTGTTTTTGCCCTTAGTTTAGGGGTTTGATCCCCCTTTAAATGCGTTTCCTGTAAAAAAACGACATCAGCCCGTTGTCTGTCTATTTCTTGGGTTAGTACTGTACGTTTCTCTGGAGTATTAAGTCCCCTGACATTTAGGGACATTATTTTGAGATCAGCCATTGGGGGTCAGGTGGTGGTGATGGCGTGTCTCCTCTGGGTAGTAATGCTTACACTTGTACCTTCGGGGGTCAGAGGGGTGTATGGGGGGATGTAAACTTGGAATGCTATGTACAATGAGCATGTGGGTAACATGCATCTACCAGATGGTGTCTAGCGCGCTAGGCTCTGTGTGAGTCCTACGTGCTCTCTGCGACTCCTCTAGGGGGTTACGGGGTCTTGGTTGTCCAGAACTTGGCCTGTAATCTGATTGGTAAATTTAACATTCTAAAAGCGTTTCCTATAGTGTGGCCTGTGTTTTCTTATGCTAACTCGTTATAAAGTTGAAATGTGGGTTTTTATCCCCTAATTTCGCGCAGCCAGGGCCCGAACCCCAGGAGGGTGTAGGCGGTGGCCGCACGAAAGGCAGTTTAAATCTACAATATGATAATCAATATTCAAGTCACGACAAACGGCATACAACTTTCAAACATATAAGAAAGAGCGTCCAGGTGCTTCAGAGGTCTGCTTAACATAATAAAGGATATATTGGATCCCTCAGGTGGGTCTGCTTGTGGTGCCTCTGGGTGATGTGGTCTGTTCATTGCCCGATGGGATACGCCTTCTGCGCTTCTTCGGGGTTCTTTGCCATTTATTTTTCTGAGAGGCGTGTGATGTCTGTCCCAGTGTTAGCCCAGTCCAGTCCTCCACTGCGGCCTTTGGTAGTTTTAGGGCTTGCTGGAAGGCTTGGACCTCCGCAGGTGTCGAGATAGAGTACGTTGTCCCTTGCTGCGTGACCACAAGAGCAAAGGGATATGCCCATCTGTATCTAATGTTCATGTCCGAAAGGGCTGTTGTTATGGGTCTGAGTGCTCTCCTCGCTATGAGGGTCGATTGTGCCAAGTCTTGGAAAATCAGCACTTTATGGTCGTCATGTTTGATTTCTCTGAGGTGCTTAGCTTTTTGCAGGATTGCTTCTTTAAGTGGGAAGTGGTGGATTTTACAGATAATATCCCTTGGTTTGTCCTGGGGCAGTGCCCGAGGTCTAAGCGCCCTATGTGCGCGGTCAAATTTAATGACTGTGTCAAGAGGCCTGCCCAGTATCTTGTTAAAGAGGCCAGTGAGTAGGAGTATGATATCTTCTGTCTCCCCCTGCTGTGTTTCAGGGAAACCCCTTATCCTGAGGTTGTTTCTCCTGCCTCTATTGTCCAAATCCTCTATTTTTCTTTGTAAGAATAGGATGGCTTCATTGTGGGTTTGCTGGAGGGATTGTATGTTTGTGAGATGCAGGGCACTTGCCTCCCCTTCTTCTTCTAGTGTCTGTACCCTGTGGCCTATTTGGCTTACCTCTTCGTGGAGCGATTGTAGTTTGTCCCCAAAGCTCCTCTCCATCTTGGAAAACATCAGTTCCAGATCTAGTTTAGATGGTAGTTGTGAGAGTAGGGTTTTTAGGTCGTTACCCTCTAATGAGCTTTCTGAGGGTGCAGGGCTAGAAGGTGCGCTGTGCGCGGGAGATTTCTCTACCGCCGCCATCTTGGATTTGCTCTCCGGCTCCGGTTTTTCTCCGAAATACCGTCGGAGGGAAGTTTTGGACGTGGTAAGTGGTACCGCTGGGGTAGTGTTTGCCTGTGCTCGAGGTTTTTTCGATGCCATGTCGTCTTAGCTGCCGGGGATGCTGCTTATAAGGCCTGTTCTGGACGGAGCTCAGCTCTCATGCGGCCATTCACTCCGGTGACCAAGCCACGCCCCCCCTGCAAAATGTCTTGATAAACTTGGGAATTCATTTTTCCTTCGATGATAGCAATTCATCCAGGCCCTGACGCAGCAAAGCAACCCCAAACCATGATGCCCCCACCACCATACTTCACAGTTGGGATGAGGTTTTGATGTTGGTGTGCTGTGCCTTTTTTTCGCCAGACATAGTGTTGTGTGTTTCTTCCAAACAACTCAACTTTGGTTTCATCTGTCCACAGAATATTTTGACAGTACTGCTGTGGAATATCCAGGTACTCTTGTGCAAACTGTAAATGTGCAGCAATGTTTTGTTTGGACAGCAGTGGCTTCCTCTGTGGTATGCTCCCATGAAATCCATTCTTGTTTAGTGTTTTATGTATTGTAGATTCGCTAAAAGGGATGTTAGCATTTGCCAGTGACTTTTGTAAGTCTTTAGCTGACACTCTAGGATTCTTCTTCACCTCATTGAACAGTCTGCGCTGTGCTCTTGCAGTCATCTTTACAGGACAGCCACTCCTAGGGAGAGTAGCAGCAGTGCTGAACTTTCTCCATTTATAGGCAATTTGTCTTACCGTGGATGGATGAACAGCAAGACTTTTGGAGATACTTTTATAACCCTTTCCAGCTTTATGCAAGTCAACAATTCTTTAATCGTAGGTCTTCTGAGAGCTCTTTTGTGCGAGGCATCATTCACATCAGGCAATGCTTCTTGTGAAAAGCAAACCCAGAACTGGTGTGTGTTTTTTATAGGGCAGGGCAGCTGTAACCAACACCTCCAATCTCATCTCATTGATTGGACTCCAGTGTGTTTTCAACACTGTTCGTAAAACGAACAAAGTACTGAATGGGAGCCCACACACAGGGGGTCGTGTGGCTCCCATTAACCGATTGCAACAATGTATCCATCGGCTGTTAATTGATTCACAGGGTGGCTGTTGTTCAGCTATCGACCACGAGGCGGTGGCCATCTTGGATTCCCTTTTTGCCCAGCGGTGTTTGGTCGTTGAGTGCATGGAACTAAAATTGGCTACTCAACGGAACAAACACCGCTGGACTTCCAGGCTGTTCGGGAGTGCCAGTCTTTCGGTCTTTTTCCCCACTTGTATATTCGTGACTTTTACGAGGAATGTATAATGTATTGAAGTGTATTTCGTGCGGCGTTCGGCTTATTGTGCTGGGATCTGAGCGGTACTTTCACAAAGTATGCGCTCAGACTCCAGCTATCTGCCGAACGGTCATTCGGTACAATGGCACGAATAATATGTAAGTTATGGATTTTTATGTGAAAAGCAGGTTCTGCTGTACGGAGGGATAATCTACATAACAGGATATTCTAGTGGGAGTATCCCTCTCGTACAGCAGTGCATGGTGGGAGAAATGTTCTGTATGTTAAGTCCCCCATTTAGTCCCCTACTGTACAACCCCTGTAAAGTCAGTAAGGAAACCCCTTGCATGGGGAACCACATAAATACTGGAGCTTGTGAATAAAATCGTCAGTTGACTCCCAGAACTGTGTTTCGGGAGTGCCAGTCTTTCGGTTCTTTTTCCCCACTTGTATATTTGTGACTTTTATGAGGAATGTATAATGTATTGAAGTGTATTTCATGCGGCGTTTGGCTTATTGTGCTGGGATCTGAGCGGTACTTTCACGAAGTATGCGCTCAGACTCCAGCTATCTGCCGAACGGTCATTCGGTACAATGGCACGAATAATATGTAAGTTACGGATTTTTATGTGAAAAGCCGGTTCTGCTGTACGGAGGGATAATCTACTTAACAGGATATTCTAGTGGGAGTATCCCTCTCGTACAGCAGTGCATGGTGGGAGAAATGTTCTGTATGTTAAGTCCCCCATTTAGTCCCCTACTGTACAACCCCTGTAAAGTCAGTAAGGAAACCCCTTGCATGGGGAACCACATAAATACTGGAGCCTGTGAATAAAATCGTCAGTTGACTCCCAGAACTGTGTTTCGGGAGTGCCAGTCTTTCGGTTCTTTTTCCCCACTTGTATATTTGTGACTTTTATGAGGAATGTATAATGTATTGAAGTGTATTTCATGCGGCGTTTGGCTTATTGTGCTGGGATCTGAGCGGTACTTTCACGAAGTATGCGCTCAGACTCCAGCTATCTGCCGAACGGTCATTCGGTACAATGGCACGAATAATATGTAAGTTACGGATTTTTATGTGAAAAGCCGGTTCTGCTGTACGGAGGGATAATCTACTTAACAGGATATTCTAGTGGGAGTATCCCTCTCGTACAGCAGTGCATGGTGGGAGAAATGTTCTGTATGTTAAGTCCCCCATTTAGTCCCCTACTGTACAACCCCTGTAAAGTCAGTAAGGAAACCCCTTGCATGGGGAACCACATAAATACTGGAGCCTGTGAATAAAATCGTCAGTTGACTCCCAGAACTGTGTTTCGGGAGTGCCAGTCTTTCGGTTCTTTTTCCCCACTTGTATATTCGTGACTTTTATGAGGAATGTATAATGTATTGAAGTGTATTTCGTGCGGCGTTCGGCTTATTGTGCTGGGATCTGAGCGGTACTTTCACGAAGTATGCACTCAGACTCCAGCTATCTGCCGAACGGTCATTCGGTACAATGGCACGAATAATATGTAAGTTACAGATTTTTATGTGAAAAGCCGGTTCTGCTGTACGGAGGGATAATCTACATAACAGGATATTCTAGTGGGAGTATCCCTCTCGTACAGCAGTGCATGGTGGGAGAAATGTTCTGTATGTTAAGTCCCCCATTTAGTCCCCTACTGTACAACCCCTGTAAAGTCAGTAAGGAAACCCCTTGCATGGGGAACCACATAAATACTGTAGCCTGTGAATAAAATCGTCAGTTGACTCCCAGAAAATACAGTGTTTACATTACAGCCTAGTGATAACTTCACTGGCCACTCCTCAGATGGCTGTTAGAGATCCTTCCTGGGTCATGGCTGCCTAAAATGCATCCAAACATTCAGTATGTTCCCCCTCTACATGCAGACACTGAACCGTCCTCATAGAGATTCATTGATTCAATTCATCTCTATGAGGAGATGCTGATTGGCCAGGGATGTGTTTGAATCATGCTGGCTCTGCCCCTGATCTACCTCCTCAGCCAATCCTGTAGGTAAGCATTGTGATTGGATCAGGCCACCACTTCTCCTGATGTCAGCAGAAAGGTTTTGACTATTGACTATTCTGAGTCTAACTGCATGCAGAGCTACAGCTTCAGGCTTGAATAAAAGTAAGATTTTGCTATATTTATGGGGGCATGAGGGGCCCAGGGGGGCTAGATGGTGGTTTTAACACTATAGGGTCAGGAATACGGGTTTGTGTTCCTGACCATATAGTGTTCCTTTAATATGCAAATAGATAAAGTGAAAGCATAAAAAGTGACAAAAAGTGTGAAATTAAAATAAAGGGAACCAATTAGCCCAAAAAGTAAGAGTTAAAGTATTTTAGCCAAACTCCAAGTGCTCATATTGGTCTTGTAAAGTACTGTCTAGTTAGTATTTATCTATTTTAGTAACCGGTTTTCAGAAAGTGTATATATCTCTCTCACGCTAGGAGGCCTCCTCAAGAAATGGCTATAAAATAGTCCTCTCGCTATGAATCTAATATAGTGGATTTGGACTTAAATTTAGCACTGTATAAGATATTTAGAAGTACACAGAATAAATAGATAAGATATGTGGCAACTGGTTGCATTCTAAACAAATTGCAACAATTAGGCACAAGTTCACAATAATTGGAGAACTAGCAGTCAGATATTTGTAAGTTGATAAGACTTAGAGTTAACAATTATAAGATATTTAGAGATGGTCAGATAACTATGACTATTTTATCAATAAATAATTGTGAGAGCACACACAAGACTAATACAAATACAGTCTGCAAATAAATAATTAGACCTGTGAATTGAAAGAGAATAAAAGAGATTATTGGGTAATATAGCATGAACACGAATATTTATTGACACACACAAAGGTTCCACTCACATGGTTCTGAGACACTCAGATGGCTCAGAAAAAAAATATGTGGGCAGAACAACACACGAACTACTCGTAAGAATACGAGAACACTTCAATAACATACGAAAAAGGAAGATTGACCATAGTGTCCCCAGACACCGTAACACGTGTCCACTATTTCAGTAGCACAATTTTGCAGCCATAGTAATAGATCAGATGCCAATAAATTGGAGAGGAGGTAATAGGTCTTTAGGGTTTGCTAAAAGAAGAAGCCCAATGGGTTTTTAATTTAAAACCCCTCAGGTTAGGACTTAATAAAGATATGGATTTGGCCGGATTGATTTAATTATTGATTGTTTTTTCTATCTAATTTTGTATATCAACTTGGATTATTGTATCACTACATATGGATGGATTGTCAATGGATTTTTTTTGTAATTTTTTCTGTATGTTGTAGTATCATATGAGTCCATCCTCATGTATTACAAAAAAAATTATATATATATATATTTATATTTTTTACATATTTTATTTATATTTTATATTTTTCTTATCTTTATTCTGATTTTATTTATTTCGTTTTTTTATTTTTATATTTTTTATATTTTCCCCCTTTATTTAGATTCATTTGTCCATTTATAATCCATTCATAGTATATATGTTTCACAACGAATGAATCAGAAATTGCTGCTTTCATCCTTCTTTGTTTAAAATATAGTCTCTTATATATATTAATGATACCATTCTCGATACCCACACACTGTTCTTTAAGGTTTTAATTCCACGGTGGAACGCACGCTAACGCCAGCTGATCGAAAGGTCTGAAATTTAGAATCATATTTAAATGAAGACATCAGAGCAAGGTCCCAGATCCCTGAGGGAGTCCACAAACCGGGCGAAATTATTTTTTGGGACTTTCAGTTTGGTTTTATTGTTCCCTCTGTACTCTT